GCTGAACCATCGTCTTCAGCCACTCCACCATGTGCACCTGCTTCATTTCACCATCATCATCACCCTTTCCTACTCTCTTTCAATTTTTTCTTTCTCCATTTGATCATGTTGTACAATCTAGCCCCGTAATAATTAAACACAAGAAAGAAGCATACCTCATCCTTAGGACGTGCATAATCCACCGGGTATCGTCCAGTAATAGCTTCCAAGAGAACAACACCAAAGCTGTACACATCGCTCTTCTCATTCAAAAAGCCAGAGTTAGCATATTCTGGGGCAACATACCTGACATTCATCCAAGCAGCAACCCTCACATCACATCACGGATCAGGAAAAGAAAAGATTATTCAGTCTTTACTCACCCGAATGTACCCATCACTCGAGTAGTGATGTAGCTTTTATCAGCTCCAAGCAACTTGGCAAGACCAAAGTCAGATAACTTGGCGTCAAAACTCTCGTCCATCAGTATGTTGCTTGATTTTATGTCTCTATGCACCACTTTGGGCTCGATGGCCTCGTGAAGATAAGCCAGCCTGTCATGAGTTTAGTTTACACTACCGAAAGCTCTTAGCCAAATTTGAAGAGATCAAGTGGTTGAGGCTTACGCCTTTGCAGTGCCAACAAGCACTTTAATACGCGCCTCCCATGTGAGATTTCCTTTATGATGCATGTCTCCATGAAGCCACTGTTCTAAGTTACCATTGCTCACGTACTCGTACACCAGCATCCTGAGATTTGTATCAGCATAAGTTAGAGAACAGTCAACTTTTCTGTAACATACTATAAGGCGGATTGAACGGGGACGCATTGTGCATCGGGATGCTCTTTATTACAGGTACCATACCGTTTTAAGATAACAAAATTTGAGTTGATTTCATTAGGAACAAAGTGCTTATATAAGCCATCTCCCCCGGTCTAAGTATATGTAAGAACTCATTCGGCGTTCTCAGTCATTTTGGAACAGAAGCAAGCAAGGAACAAGATAAATCCAAAAAGAAGAAAATATACCTCTGGGTTCCTTCGATGCAATATCCGAGAAGTCGAACTAAGTTCTTGTGTCGGACGTGCCCAATAGCCTCCACTTCAACTCTGAAATCTTTGTCGGCTTGACCTCTAATGAAAATGATAAGCAATCTCAGATATAAGCATTAACCTTTTGGTGAAATCTGGATTCATATAATGCAAAGGGAGCAAGGTGTATCAGAATCTTACGGATTGTTGAGCAACTTTTTGACAGCCACTGAAGTACCGTTTGCCAGAATTCCATGATAAACGACTCCGTATCCACCATCACCGATAATATTCTCCTTGGAGAAATGGTCGGTGGCAAGCTGAAGCTCCCGGAGAGTAAACCAGTGACCCCACCCAATGTGGGAAACCTCAGGAAGACCAGACAAAGGGGACGGGGTGGTAAGAGGAGGTGGTTGTGACCTTTTCTCCAAACGGTTAAAAGAGGCAGAGTTATTTTCGTTTTCAGAGTCTTTGTCGCTGGATTTTTCTACAAGGGTCTGATCAAATCCATTGTTGTTTGATGAAACGCGATCGATCCTTATTTCTTTGATCTCTTCTGGGACGATGGGGATCTGGATCACTGGAGGTGGTGTGGAGTTTGATCTTTTGGATTTCTTGTGGAAACTGAGCCACAGTGAAACGCCAAGAATTAGTATGAACACTGCAAACAGAGCAATTACTATGAGCTCCCATAGCTCAAGAGAGCCATAAGTCTTGGTCAGAGTCTGTTTGAGTTCAGATGCCATGGGTCTCCAGCAACACTGTCCAGCAGAAGAGAGCGAAGTCATTGAAAAAACAACAACTTACTCTCATAATTATACACTTGGGAAGTGATATCTGATAAATCCAAGAATATCTCAGCAGCTTTTTAAAACTACTGATAATATATATTCAGAAAAAACACACTTGACATCATATTGTACAAAAATACTGAAAATCGATAAAATTAACAGATGAAAAAGACTTCAGCTTCCGATTAAGAAGAAAAAAACGCGAGTCTGAAGACAACGAAGCATATCTGGATGCTTGTGTCAATTCTCAGATCTTTCTTTTGCATTATTAGGAGAAACACACTTGAAACATAACATTATGCGACTGGTTCAACACAAACGAAAGACAATTCTTGGACTAATCATGTAAAAAAAAAAGCATCAAGGAGTTAAGACAAAGAGCCGACGAAAGCATAAGAAACAATCCCCATCCCAGAGGAAGCTTCTACAAGTTTCATAATCGACCAACTCCGGATTGAGCTCAAACTCGCAATTGTCAACTCTTAAAGACGGTAAAGAATCCTAAACAAGATCGCGTAAACTAATTGAGAATCAATGGATTATGTAAGCGCCAGCTACCGACTAAATGTCGTAATCAGAAAGGAAGAAACTTCCAAGATTCCAACGCAGCCCACAAGCGAAGATCGAACATTTGGAACTCCCAAACATCAACAGCCACGCTAAAGCGTGCAATCGAAGCACCTAATACCTGACGTTTGGAGGCAAAAAAAAATCCAATTTTTACCTGGTTTGTGGAGAAATGAATAACAATGATCTGGCTAGTAAAGGGAGGGGAGAACGAACCCCACAGAGATCATTTCCAAGTTTTGGAAACTTATCGGGGATCTAACTAGGGTTTCCAATTCTGGGAAACGGGAGAGGAAGTTTGAAGCTTTCTTTGATGTTTCTCCTCTCCTTGTCCAATATTTTATGCCTGTTTTTAAGGTTGTTCTTCGTTCGGCTCAACATTTTAATATTATTTTCCCCGACTAAGCACATTTTTTTAGCATATTCGTAATAACCCTTTTTTTGTTTTTAATTTTTAAACATATGGAAGGGCAGTTTGGTCGTCGAGATTTTGTGGGATGACAAAGCTATCGGCCGTGATTGGGGAGGGGTTTCTTTTGTTTTGTTTTTTCAGATTGCCATTTCGAACATGCATGAAAGCGTCACTAGTTTAAAATGGTCAGCATTATTGAGTTTTTTTTGGTTTAATGTGATTGTTATATTACTACCAAAAAATAACCCGAAGGTTTACATGAGTTTAACATGTACCACAGATCCCGAAAGATAATGATTCCTATTACAAGTGAACAAAAATAACGAAGACTTAAATCTCAGTCATAATACATAAGGCGATACCATTGTTGGAGGGGGTCATTTGATACGGTAGAATCCGGCTTGTGCAAGGATATGAGTATATTCCGCATTATCCTATCGATCTTGAACCGCAATTGTTGTGGCGAGTTTGCGACGTCTTTATGTGTCCGTCCATTACGTTCCTTCCAAATCTCGTATACTACTAGCTGCAAGAGAAGACTCTTGATTAGTTTTGTTGTCCGTTGGGTTGTCGTGAGATGTTGATTAATCCACGGCCCGGCGTCCACAACCACTCTAGGGGGAGAGCCTCCAAGATTTCCTGCAAGGGAGAGCCACACATCCGCACTATATTCGCAGCAAAAGAATAAGTGAGATAGGGTTTCAACTTCCTTCCGGCATAGTATGCATCGACTCGGCCCTTGTATCCCCCAGCGAGCCACTCTATCCGAAGTCGGTAGTCTTTGGTGAAGGACCTGCCATAAGAGGAATGCATGCCTGGGTATGGCTTTCTCAAACCATACCAGGCCAAACCATGAAACCGGAGCAGCCGGGGTTCTGATTTTGTCCCACGTAAGTCTTGAGACAAATGTCGGATGATAGTTGTCGTCATTCTTTCTCCAAAGCGGTTGGTCAGAGCCGTTGTCCGGGCTTGGGGGTTCCATTCTCGAGAGTATGGTTTGTAGTTGTTGTACCCGCTCGTTCCTTGCTCCTCGGATTAGCCAACTTCCCTCGTGGACTGCATCCTTAACTCTCGCTGTCTTCGGTAACCTCAGGAGGCGAGGTCCGACCATCCCGATGAACTCAATGAGAGGTCCAATCTCCAACCAACTGTCATACCAAAAGGATGCGTCTCCTCCATCTCCAAGCTGGATCCTAGTGAACTCCCTGGCTCGTTCCTTCAGCCGTAGCAACTTCTTCAAATTCCATGTTGCCCCGACGTTTTGTGGGCATTCCCAGTAAGTCCTCCCTTTGAAGACGTTTGCTCTGATCCATAGGTACTTAACATGTTCATGTTTATGGATGAAAACTCATAGAGCATAATAATTTTACCAGTTGATTATCCTAAAATTCCTAATGATCTTTTGGATACGTAAAAGTGAATCAAAACTAAATAGAATTCATCTAATCCTCCCGACGATTTGGAACGGATTCGCTGAAGAAAAGTTTATTTATTTATTTCTTTAAATTAAACCGATTGAACCGATTCGGTTTAATACCGGTTCAATCGGTCCAAATTAAAAACTCTAAATTTGGGTGACGTGGCATAAAAAATATGACGAGACATAGTATTCGTATTGTCACGTCAGTCCCATTTAACGATATTTGTGGATACCAAATATCACCGAGGTCACTAACTGGATCTTTCCTGTAGTTGAGAGGAATTTTGTGGTCCAACCATCAAGCTTGGCCCTAATCCTTTGCAATAACGGCTGAAAATCAGCTTTCGTTAGGCGCGATGGACTTAAAGGAACACCCAGGTAGCGCACGGGGAGGCATCCCAACCCAATACCGAAGGCCGCCGAGATAGATCTCTTCTCACCATCGGATAATCCCGCCAAGAACAGCTCTGATTTATCTGGGTTGATCCGTAGCCCCGAGATTACTCCAAACTCAGTTAGAATGTTCTGGACTTCGGACAACGATGATAGGTCCCCTTGGGTAAATATCATGACATCATCTGCGAATAAGAGATGAGTGATCATCGGATTAATACAGCGGTGGTGCAGGGATAGTCGTCCATCTGCAACAGATCTGTCCAATAGTCGAGTAAGAATCTCCATTGTCATGATGAAGAGATAGGGAGACATTATTGAGTTTGACCTCAAGGTCATTAATAAACCTCCCCTATTCGATCATTTATGCTTCTTCTTTACTTTATATTGTATTAATTCTCGTAATGGTGGTGCAGATCGTCTGTTTCTTAATGCCTTTAGCATTTGTAGCTTTAAAGTTTTTTTTTTTTTTTTTAACGTCAAACATGCAAGAAAACAATGAAAAAAAAAATCACCAGCCACAATTTTGTGAACCACAAATATTAACCATAGCGGAGAAGTCCCCGACTCAATTAGAAAATGATAAGTCTCCTCTACACGAGTTTGTGGATTCGATTTCTTCTGAAATCTGAACTTTTTCTTGAACCGGTTAATTTTGACTGATTTATTTGTTCTACGTGGTTTTGCCGGTTATTGTGCGAAGTATCGGCCGGTGTCCGGTCCGACGGTTTTGCGATGGGTTTTCCACCGTTATAAAAAATATATATATTAAGCCATAGCAACCCTATATATATATATATATATATATATATATTGTTTAAAAGAGTGCATATACATTATTAGATTGATTAGCTGCAATTTCTGAATCGATACATCTTAAGATCCTTCCATCAACACACACACTTTCACTCAAGATGTCCACTCTGTGCCATTAGTTAGGCACGCCTCATCACGCGTAATTTCAAAAACCGCACGATGTCCCGCTGGGTTTGTAAGGAAAACAATACCATAAAAATCGTTGATATCCATCCGTGTGTTTCGCTGGCTACCAATTTCAGCATTGTTCAAACTGAAACTAGGGCTTTTTTTTTTTTAAGTCATGTCAGAAGAAACGCAGGCAATCTGTCGATCGATTAATATATACAATTATAATTATTATAAAATAAAATAAAAAAAGTGTTGGGGGACTAATGAAGCGATTAATGTCGCCTTTGCGTGTACATGACAAAAGTCAACCTCCGAAATGCCTTTCGTCTTTGCTGCTTCTAAAACACGGCGACACACACAGAGACACCATTATCTCATTCTGTCATGAATTTATTAATCACTCTTTAAAACACTCACACATAATAATAATAATGATGATAAAAAAAATTAATATATTGCAAATGGAAACGGCTTTATTAATTTATCACCAATGACTACTTGCTTCTTTCCTTCAACACACCTACCCATATATACATGGGAAGCAATATAAAATTTACTATTCTATCTGAATCAAAATATATGACGTTTAAAAAATTTTACACGCAAATTAAGAAAAATAATGTTTTGTCTAAAATATTTTTATTTACTACATAGATAATTATTATCTCTAAATATGTAGAATATTTAAATATGGTTAATTAAAGATAAATTTGGAAAAATACATTAAAAATCTAAAATTGTCATTTATTTTGAAACAAAAATTTTATTCTAAAACGTCATCTATGGTATAGAACGGAGTGAATATAATTTAAGAGACAAATTTAAATTTTTTATGGAGGCATTTAACAGTTTTTATATTTAAAATTTATAATAAAATTATTTTTTTGATAAAAAGATAATGGTGCATAGGTAGTTGGGTCCTCCATGCATACACGTACATATACGTGTATATATATGCGTGTGTTTGACGGTAGATGATTCAATGAGAAGAACATGCAATGACTATTTGATAAATAGAGTTAGTACGATAATAATTAGACTACGCGTAAGAGACATTTGGCATATTAATGTCGACGTTCGGAGCTAACTAATGCTCTAGTTGTTGATTAGGTTTTTTTTAATTGAATTAATTTATTTTATTTTCCCTCTGTATTTTTCTATATTATTGTGTTTTGTAATCGCGGTTGTTGGGGTTACATCACTTTTGTTTTTAGCATCGAAATAATCCAGCAATGCGATATATTAGGTTATGAGGACAAGGATTTTCTTATGATAAATTTATTTATATACTAAGAATTAAACTCCATTTGTCTTTTAGATATAATTGTTTGACGATACTTCATATGCCTCCTAAGCATCTTGCCCTTTGGATCCAGGATCCACACCTCTGTTCGTTTTTGTCCATTTACTTTCCTTTTTCGGGGAAAAATATTTATTAACTGTAAAATTAAATAAATCAGATATTCACAGATAAAAAAAATGAATGGGCAGAACTGAAAATCGCTGTGTTGGGTCCATAAGGCCCAACAAGAAACATAAAGGCCGGACCGGAACCAAGCTTTTCAGGAGGTTTGGTGACCCAACCCGGACACGACATTTGCAAATCCAGACCGACGGCGGGTGATCTCGCTCTCCATTGTTGGATCTCGAGGAGGGAGAGAGAGAGTGATGTCCGGCGGTGGGGGTCTTACCGCCGGAGACCGGAGGATTCTGACAGCAATTAACACTGGAGCTTCGAGTCTCTCCTTCGCCGGCTCTGCCTTCATCGTCCTCTGCTACTGCCTCTTCAAGGAACTCCGCAAGTTCTCCTTCAAGCTCGTTTTCTACCTCGCTCTCTCTGTACGCCCTCCCTTATCCTTCTTATCCTTCATTTACAGTCCCTTCTTGGTTGAGGATTTGTCTTCTCTCTCTCTGTCTCTCTGATTTTTACTCCGTTTCATCAATATCCACATAGATTAGGGATTATCTTAATTGATTCTTAAGTTAGTTAGCTTTTTTATTTTCTGGGATCATCGTCCTCATGCATTTATCGGATTATCTAGCTTTGTTACGTCTGATTGTTGGTGACGTTGCTGTTGGCTGCAGGACATGCTCTGCAGTTTCTTCCTGATCGTTGGGTATGCTTCCCGCAAGCAATGCTCTGCATAACCCTTCAAATTGTTTCTAAGATTTCCACACGCCTCATTCATGTAGGGATCCGTCAAGGGGTTTCTTTTGTTACGCACAGGGCTATAGCACTCATTTTTTCTGCGTAGCTTCCTTCCTGTGGACAACCACCATTGCTTTCACTCTTCACCGCACTGTTGTCAGACATAAAACAGATGTCGAGGATTTAGAGGCCATGTTTCACTTGTACGTCTGGGGTATGTGACATTCAAAACCTACTCTTTCTTTGTGTCAGCTGGGGTTCTGTTGTTTGTGAATCTAGACTTCTTTTTCAAGGATTGAATATCTTAGTATCCGCTTTGGTTAACTATGTAATGTAGGAATCTCATTTAGTCTACTATTTCAGGAAGTTCCTTGGTTGTGACTGTCATTCGCTCTTTTGGTAACAACCATTCTCATTTGGGGCCATGGTGCTGGACGCAGACTGGTCTAAAAGGAAAGGCAAGATATAATGTTTCAGTCTTTTTAGTTTAGATGTTTTCCGCTGCTGCTCAGAGCAAGTAAGCTTGTGTCGGCTATTCCGGAAGGGTTCTTTTCCTTCAAAATCGTTTTCTTTAGCGACTTTGAGATGGATTATTTCATGGTTGTCCCAGATGTGGTGTGGTCTAATGTGTTTGGTGCTATGAGGGGTTACATGAATGTTGTTCTCTTTAATCTCCATCTCGAGAATTTTCTTTGTCTGTTCTGTTTGTGGAGCTGAACTCACCTTTTCGCTTTCGCAGGCCGTTCACTTTTTAACATTTTACGCTCCTCTGTGGGGTGCCATTTTGTACAATGGTTTTACCTACTTCCAAGTTATACGGATGCTAAAAAACGCGAGACGTGTACGTAAACTATTCATCAATTCTTTAAATCCTTTCAATTTATACACATGCCAATCAATGAGTGAAAAAAACGATGTTAATTTCAGATGGCGGTTGGAATGTCAGACAGAGCAGATCAACTAGATGCGAGAGCCGACATGAAGGTAGTCTTATGTCTTCTGCTGTTTCTGACAGAATATTGTGTTTGTTTTATACTTAACCTCTTTATCTTTTTTTCCTGAACTGCAGGCTTTGAATCGATGGGGATACTATCCACTCATTCTAATAGGATCGTGGGCATTTGGCACCATTAACCGCATTCATGATTTCATTGAGCCAGGTCATAAAATCTTTTGGCTTTCCGTTCTTGATATAGGAACGGCAGCTCTTATGGTACGTAATCCTTCAACAACAACCATTTGTAAGTTGTCTTACCATTTGGTCCTGTCTGTCCAAGATAATATAAAGTCGCGGTTCTGTGTACCGTATGTCAGGGCTTGTTCAACTCAATAGCATATGGTCTCAACAGCTCAGTGCGGCGAGCAATCTATGAAAGACTGGAGCTGTAAGTTAGCATTCCTATGCCATTGTCCATAGAGTATGTGATTGTGTCTTGAGACTTTAACCATCAATGAGAAACATATCTTAGCTGTCCTGGATTTACTTGGGCAGGTTCCTGCCGGAGAGGCTCTATAGATGGCTTCCGAGCAGCTCAAGGCCGAGGAACCACCATCAACAGCTGCAACATCGAAGTGAACTGGTCTCGCTTAAGATTGAGGAGCAGCAATAACAAACACATACTCTTTCTGCACTGTATTCATCAGGATAAGATTTCGTATGAGCTGAGAGACGATTTTGCAGAATCAGAGCCTGGTACGACGTCCTTCTCTCTACTTGCGGTTTGGTAGCCTGTTTGTGGAAATTATCATCGGCGTATGGGAAGACTTGAAACTGGAAGCTTGTTGCCGAGTAGCGTGAAGATTGGTACTTGTTCCCAAAGTTCCAATTATGTTTGTGGTCAAGGGAAGGAGTGTGGGGGCTTGATTGATAAAAGTATCTGTTTTCTGGATACAATTCATTGTTTCACATGAATCAATATTTTTTTTAACAGAATACATTATTAGAGGGTTTTGATCCTAACTAGTGATGGGAATTTCTGATGAATAGGTCTGTTGCAGCTGCGCATAGAACGGAACCTTGGATCTCTAGTTTATAGGGATCTTTAATTTCAGAATGTGTCAGAAAATGGATTTTTGTTGCTGTTGATGTTCCTATACCCTTGTAATAATTTCGATGCTGTCACAAATACAACGTGCAAGACTACTAGACTGCAACCTCGTGTTTTCTCGTTTTTTTTCGTCAGGAATCAGTGGTGCCAAATGGCTGCTGCTCTCCTTTGGGATTATATTATATGATTTCTGGTTAGTAGTAACTCAAAAAACGTAAAATGGCCTTCAACTTTGTCATGAGTCGCCTTTCTTTACTAGATTGCTGCTTTGGACGTTTCGGTTCGGTTTCGAAGAACTGAATCGAACCAAAAAATACGATATTTTTTTTATGCGAACCGTTTTAAATTTCCGAACGGTGTTATTTTTAGAAAACCGAATTTTCTAAAACCGAACATAATATAAAAAACCGATTGTAATAGGGAAATGTTTTGCTATTATTGATGATTGAAAGATTATATTTTAATATATAGCAAAATACAATAGAATATTTTGAATATAATATTTAAGGTAAATCATAACCGTATTAATGATAATATTCTAGGAATAATATCAGATATGTGATAAAGTCATCCTCAAGGTTCTAGGTTCGATTCCACTGGTGGAGAGGGATGTAATTTCTGGACTAAAATGGTCCATATACAAAGGCTGGTCCCGGACCTAAGGTGGATGTAGTCGGGCCGAAGGCCCGAGGAACCATCTTGGTTATCAAAAAAAAAATATATCAGATTGGTACCTATTTTTATAAAACTGAAAAAACCGAATCAATACTTTCCCGAACCGATTTCCGAAATATGCACCCCTCCTAAACAGATTTTTTAAGTACAACACTCACATTGACAAGTCGACGCATGTATAGCTAGAGGGTAATGATGATCCAAACGTTAGCTTTTATAATCGATTTTTCAAGTGATTCACGAGTGTACCTTAAGGTTTTCGTCAGAAAAAGAAAAAGAAAGAAAGAGAAAGAGCTTTGTGTCATTTGTTTTCAAATAAACACGTAATACATCACAGTAGAATTAAAAACATATTTAGATGCCAAAAATAACGGAGAAAGCATGATCTAAAAAAGTAACTATATATACAAAAAAAATATACGCTAGGCTATATTCTAACGGTTTCAATATTTTAAAAATGTAGAATTCAATTTTATTACAATTTACTCCATTAAAATAACTAAACTTTCGTATAAATTATTAAGTCGTTTGTTAGTACCCCGAGGATGAATCAGGCCAAGCTCTATAATTTTTGGTGCCGTGCTGGAAACTCACGTTCAAGAAAGCAACAGAGACAACATTTTGAATAGGCTGGGAACACAGTGGCAGTGTTTTGATAATTACCCCGAGGATGAATCAGGCTGTATCTGGGTGTTGATCAGCCCCTCGGTCACTGTAACCAGCTTTTTGAGAACACGACAGACTGTTACCCTTCTTTTGCACCCGTCCAACTCTATGCCTTTTTTCCTCACGGTGGTATATGCATCCAACCAACCGCCTGATCGCATCTCCCTCTGGGACCATATACAGTCTTTGCGTGACTCTCGGATCCCCCCAGATTCACCATGGATAATCTGCGGAGATTTCAACGAGATCATGGGTCCACATGAACACTCTTCCCCCACAATATCCCACTACTCCCCTTCCATGATCCGACTCCTAAACCTCACCCTCTCTACTGAAACCTTCGATTTGCCCTACCAAGGTCCCACATTCACTTGGTCAAACAAACAAACCAATAACCCGGTTGCGAAAAAGCTGGACAGAGCTTTGATTAATGCCGCCTGGCTTATTTCCTTTCCCCAAAGCCATGCGACATTCACCACACCAAATCCCTCCGACCACTCGCCGTGCTTAATCTCTATAACACCAAACATTAAACCCATTCCGAAGCCTTTTAAACTCTTTAACTTTATTTTGGACCATCCAAAATTCACCGAAACCATCCAAAATTCCTGGCTGATGGCGGGTCATAGAGCCTCGTCACTATCGGAGATCCACCTCAAAATCAGGAAGCAAAAAATCCCTATCAAAACTCTATGTAAAGAAAATTATTGTGCGATCCAAAAGAAGGTTCTTGACTCATACACTTTGCTATCAATTGCGCAGGATAATGCACTTCGAGACCCTTCTACAGCTTCTTTTATGGAGGAAAATCACTGCCTACAGCAATGGACCCACTTCAAAGAGATAGAGGAGAAGTTCTTAAAGCAAAGATCCAGGGTTCATTGGTTGAAGACAGGAGATCAGAACTCCCGTTTCTTCTTCAGATCACTTCTAATCCGGAACTCCAAGAATACTTTGCGGCATCTGATTTCTCCGGAGGGGCAGAGGATAACAGATCAGGAAAGCATCGCAAAAATGGCTGTGGATTATTATCAGAGCATCTTAAGGCCCCCTCGCCAACCACAACAATCGTCTACCATACATCACCGCATTGAGACTATCCTCAACAGGGCCCCAGACGATGTCTTACAGGCTATATCAGCACCCTTTTTGAATTCGGAGATCAAGTCTGCTCTGCAATCCATGCCTCCAAATAAAACTCCAGGTCCAGATGGCTTCACGGCAGAGTTTTATTTGAAGACTTGGGACTTGATTGGAGTTGAACTTACAGAGTCTGTACAGCATTTCTTCAGAACCGGTGCACTCCCGAGGTCCGTTAACGCCACTGCCCTGGTTCTAATTCCAAAGGTACCCGGCGCGGAAAGGTTAAGTGACTATCGACCTATATCGTGTTGCAATACGATATATAAGATAATCACTAAATTGTTAGCCACTCGAATTAAACTGCTTATTGAGGCAGTGGCTCCTCGGAATCAGGCAGCCTTCATACGTGGGCGAAGCATCACGGAAAATTGTTTACTAGCAGCTGAAATCCTAAAGGGCTACCAAAGGAAAAGTATATCTAAGAGGGCTACACTCAAGCTAGATATAGCAAAGGCGTTCGATTCGGTTGAATGGGTTTTCTTGATAGCCGTGCTACGCCGATTAGGAGTTCCAGAAAATCTTATCAAGTCAATTGAGGTCTGTATCACAACCCCTTATTTCTCTGTATCTGTTAACGGTGGATTATTTGGATTTTTTCCGAGCACTAGAGGCTTGCGCCAAGGCTGCCCCCTTTCACCGTACTTATTCATTCTGGCTATGACAGTCTTGTCGAGAATGCTTGATCTGACAGCAATAGAAAACAGATTGGGGTATCATCCGGGTTGTAAACCTTTGAATATAACTCATCTAGCTTTTGCAGATGATTTACTGGTCTTTACAGATGGCTCGGACACATCTCTTCGCACTCTAGTACAGACATTGGATCAGTTTGGGGAACTATCTGGTCTTCATATTAATAGAGGCAAATCTAACATGTATGTGGGGGGTTGTTCTCCAAATGAGGTGAAACATATGGAGCAACTTACAGGCATGCATGCATCCAGTTTACCTTTTCGATACCTAGGGATTCCGATAGCATCAAAAAAGTTATCCCCGAATGATTGTCTCCCTTTGATCAACAAGATAAAGTGCAGAATGGAATCATGGACAGCGAGATCGCTTTCATTTGCGGGACGACTACAGCTATTACGGGCTGTAATTTCAGGGATAATCAACTATTGGTGTAGTGCTTTTATTCTCCCAAAAAGCACTATCCGACAGATTAACTCTTTGTGTGGTGCTTTTCTATGGAAAGGAAAACCAGAGCCCTCGAGAGGAGCAAGGGTTGCATGGGACAATATCACTAAGCCGAAAGAATACGGAGGTTTGGGGTTGAGAAATCTAGCACAGTGGAACAATGTCTCTGCACTTAAACTCATCTGGAGCCTGTTTTTTCGAGGAGGTTCTCTTTGGGTGGGATGGGTGAGGTATAAATACTTATCCAGGTCATCTTTCTGGTCAGTTACAGTGAAGCCCAACCAGTCATGGACCTTCAAAAAGTTGCTGAAACTCCGCCCCTGTGTAATATCCCGAATCCCGATTTAATATTTAATTATTTAAAAATAAATAATTAAATAGAGATGTCATGAAATCACCAAAAATAAAGAGTACAATGCCGAGGAGAGGCACGAGGATCGACACACGTGGGAAGGATCGAGAAAGAACAAAAAAAAAAGAAAAAGAAAAAAAATAGAGCCTGGTCAGCGGCGGACCACGACTCCGCCGGACTCGGGCCGGACAGGCGGACTGGGAGAAGAAAAATAAAAAAAAAATAAACTGAGCCCGGTCCGCCGGACCAACTCCTGGTCAGCCGGACCGGGACTCGACAGTTTTTCCAGCTCGCCATCTTGCGGTCTTGGGACGCGGTTTTCGCCTGAGTCCGCGAGCTGGCTGTCTTCCTGCCGCCTCCCACGCCTTGATAAGGTTGCAGGCTCGCCCAAACCATTTCGGGTGCAAGGGGAGGAAGAACAAAAACCGGGAGAAAGAGGGAGAAAGGAGACGAACCGAGGCAAGGGGAGCTCGGTGAGACCAAGAGGGACGTGCCCAGAGGTGTCCCGGAGCTTCTCCCGCCGTGTGGAGCCACGAGGAGCTCACCCAAGCTCGGACAAACTCAAGAACAAGGTGAGTGGCTTGAGTTGGATTTGTGCAATCTCGTTTTCAATGTTTGATGGTTCAATTCGAGATTTTCTTGCATGTTTGAGACCTAGAACATGTTTAGGGATGTAAATCTATGTTTAATGAGTATTTGGAAGCCATATCGAACCGATTCGAGTGAGAAAATCGAGTGAGAATCGGAGAGAAATCGCGAGGAAGAAGAAGGTCCCAGTCCCGGTCCGCCGGACCACCCGTGGTCAGCTCCGGACCGAGACTGGGATAACACGCGAGCCCAGTCGGACCAGAAGAAGGAGGTCGGACCAGAGGAGAAACACGTCTGGTCCGGGGCTGACCAGTCCTGGTCCGCCGGACCAGACGTGTCCCGAAGCCGCGGTCCGCCGAGCTAGGAGAGGACGGGCCGGACCAAGAAAACGCGTCCTGGTCCGCCGGACCAGAACCTGGTCCGCCGGACCAGACGCGTTCCGAGGACACGCAGTCCGTCGAGCCAGGAA